TGCGCTTGCACAGCACACACACACACACACACACAAAACACAAACACACACACACAACACACACACCACACACACACACATGCACGCACACAGTGCTTTTATTATAACGTATAATTTCAGAATGTCTTATGCAGAATTTGGGGTCTATGGTTCATAATGGCCCTCCACAGATCTTTGTTCTGTTATTGCTCTGAGATGTTGGTTGACCTGGTGGCTCTATGTTAAGAACAACCTGCACTGTAGTCTCACACTTTGACCAATTTTGTGTGCATATATTGAGTGTTTTGATATGATATTGATATGTGTACAAACTGTTTTGCTCATCAACTCCTGAGCAGGGAATGTTATTCTCGTCTGCTACGGCAAAAGGGACCAAACCCCTGATAAAGCAAGCCCTCCACCAGTATGATGATATACTTACTGTAAGAGAAGATGCATACCAAAACAACAATCTTTCTGAAAATATCTTATTAAAGGATCAGTGTGTGAGGCGAGTGTTAGTGCATCTGAGTGGTGAGCTAGAGATGGGTGAGCGCTGGTACTTGACAAACTGCCACCTTCGACAAACTTAAAGACTTAAAGAGCATTTTAATATGGGGCCTTATGGAGCTTGACTTACTTCTGGAGCTAGTCTCAAGTGGCCATTAGAGGAACTTTCTTTGTTACTGCCACATTCTGAATTAATTCCACAATTATTTGTTTTCTTTGTCACACCTTTGTGGGTCCTGTTGCTTTGTCTGCTGTTACTTTAGAGGCACAGTGCTGTTTGTAGCTTAAGTGGAAGTTTGACTTAATGCTAAAACACTGCCTCCAACAGAGCTTCTCATTGTGTGTGTGTGTGTGGGTGTGTGTGTGTGTGTGTTGTACCTGTTGAAAGCAGCAACATTGTCAGCCAGTGTCCTTTGCTCATCAGCTCCAGAGCGGTAGTAGTCATACACAGCTTTAGGAAGAACCTTCCTGGCTTCCTCCTCAAAGTCAGACACACACACACGCTGCCCTGACATTGCTGTCCACTGACTGACTCCAGAACACTGCGGAGGCTCACTGTCTGTCACTGTGTTTATCACAGCCTGACCTGTGCTGTGTCAGAGCTGCTGTAATCATTAACCTGCTGGAGGCTTCACTGGCCCTAAACCTCCTCTTCTTTATTCAAAACTTCAGAGTATATTTCTGCAGTGCTCTGCTCAGTTTACACAAGATAAAGACAGGTTATGAAAACCAGAGAAAAAAACAATTTAGGATTGTAGGTATTGTGGTAATGACCATCTGGACCTTTATGTCCTGTGTGTGTTCAGACTGTTACTAGGTTATGAGATAGTACTGGCTGCCAGTGAACTTTGAATCCTCATGTTAACTCTCTGATGTATTCAGTCAAGACCATAGACAACTGTCAGTGCTGTGGACACTACAGTGGAGAGTGCTGTGTAATGTTTCGGTCATGATGAAGTCAGTGACATTGTATGTAGTAGTAATGTTTATGGACCCCAGTGTGCAGAAAAATTCAAATACAGTAGGAAACATTTACATTAACATTTACTACCTGGCCAGAATAATGTTCTGCAGCCTCATACCAACAAACTGTGACACACCTGTGTGTTCTGACCCTGTTCTACAGAACCAGAATTAACTGTCTTCTGCCAGTTTGAACTCACCCACGATTACAACCGTCTGTTGGATCGGACCACACGGGCCAGCCTTCACTCCCCATGTGCATCTGAGCCTTGGCCAACATCGTTTTTTAGATAGATAGATAGATAGACCTTAAGAATAGAATTAAAGATAAAAGATAAAATATCACACAATATATATATATATATAATATATATAAAATTAACAGTAGCTACAGTAAACAGTGCAAACAGTGGCAATTGGAGTGGAGTGCAAATGGAAGGTAAAGGTAGAAAATTGTCCGTTGGTCTATTGTGCCTCCCTGGCCTTTACGAGAGCGTCGTTACAGTCTGGATTGGGGGGGTAAGGAAGAGTTCTTTCAGTCTGTTAGGTTGGGCGGATTGGGCAACAGTCTGCCACTGAACACATGCTTGCCTGGTGAGAGGTGTTGTGCAGGGGAGGGTGGTGGGCGATTTGTTCCAGTCATGGACAAGCAGTTTGTACCAGGGTCCTTCTTTCTTGCCCTGGTCACCAGAGAGTTTCAGCTCTGCGCCTTACCAGCTGAGCCGGCTTCTCACCATACTGTCCAGCTCGAACGGCGTCTTCTTCTTTGCTTGTGATCGCTCCCCAGCAAACCACAGCATAAAAGAGCACATGGCCACCAACAGAGACAGTGGGTAAAAATCTGCACGGCAGTTTTTTACAGATGATTGAAGGAAACCCCAGCCTTTCGTCAGGAAGTATGGACGTCTTCTGCCTTCTTCCTGTGTAAAGTAGTCCCAATGTGGGCTGTCCAGTCCAGCGTGTCATGCACTTGCGAGACCGAGATATGTGTAAGTTCCTGGACCACCTGGCCATCGACCCCCTCGATGGACACGGGATGTTGGAGATGTGTTTCTTTCTTCTGTGAAGTCCACCACCAGTGGTCCTTAGGTCTTGGAGTGTGTTTTAGTACAGATGGTTGGACTGCACTAACCTCACGAAGTACTCGACCAGGAGCTTTCCTGTACTCCCCTATGTCCATCCTTGATGAGAGCAACCGTAATCGCCAGTGTCATTCTGAGGATTTTCTGCATGTGGCAGAGCCCGGAGTGTATACAAATGGACAGAATCGGAGTGTGTAACGGTGAATAGGACGGCGAGAAAGCACGGTCCCCTTTGGTGCTCCTGACCCTTCAGTATTCGTCGTGGTCTCTCGTGAGGTAGTCCCGTAATCCATGTCACCAGGAGTGGGTCCACCCTCATCTCTCTGTCAGCTCTGTCTCTCAGCAGGAGACGGCCCGGATGGTGTGAAGGCACTCGAGAAATCAAAAAACGCAATTCTCACAGCGCCGCTCTCCTTGTCCAGATGAGAGTGGGCCTATGGAGCAGATAGGAGGATGGCATGCCTCCAATGCCCACCTTCGTCCTGGTATCCAAACTGGGCAGTGGATCTTGTGCGTGGGTGGACCTGGGGTCACGAGGACATGGAGCAGCAGTCCAAAGGTCCCGTTATAATGTGTGACGTCCAGTGTACTGGTCTGAAGACACCTGGCTCCGGGGTGTTTTTTTCTTAAGAAACCGGTTTCATGCGGCACATGCCCAGTCGCTCATGTTGTTGTGCTGCAGCTTATGTTCTACTTCCTTCTGTTATCCTCTTTGGCGCTCTCTCAGATGGACCTTGGTTCCCTCCTGTACGGCTTCAGCTTGTCTCTGTCACATCCTTGAATGCCCCTCTTCTTCCTGTTCAGGATGCTCATGCACATTATAGGTGATCCAAGGGCTTGTTGTTGGGGAAGCAGCGTACAGTGTTGAACAGCTGCCGTTTCTGCTTTATGCCATACTGAGCAAAACAAAAGTTTATACAGTAAAAGCAGATTTTTGCATGTTTAGTGTATGGCCATTGACACAGTATAGTATTAGTTAGTTGTTAGTAATTAATTGAAATAGTAATTAGACAAAAGTAAATAGTCAACATTCATACACATTGCATGCATCCATGATTAGTTTAGGAGAATTTGGTATGGTAAATATAAGTGGGGTAAAATGTTTAAAAAAACACTGCAATTGTGCCCCAAAAGGGAACATATATGGGAAGATATATAAAACAATAAATAATCTTCTTTGGGAATAAAGCGTTCCTGTGTGAACTGTCTGCAGCTGAATAGGGGTCGGGCGACCTCTATTTGAAAAGTGTCCTGAGATAACTTGAATTGGCGCTATACAAATAAAATTGAATTGAATTGTATTTTAACAACAGTCAAATTTTTTCTGAGGTGATACAAGGTGTAAAAAAAATGGAAAAACACTGGCTTAAATAATGCACCATACTTTGATAAATTTTTACATTTTTAACTAAAACTAGACCAAAACTAAAATTCTTCAGATGACTTCAATATGACAAACTAAATGGCATATTAGTCAAAATAACACCAAACCTAAATCAAAATTTCCTGTTAAAACGAACAATATACCCGGCCTGGGTCAGGTAAATGTTTTTTTCTTCGGTATAACTTTTTCCCTCATGAGATACCGGCACCACTAAAAGGCCTACAACTGAAACAATCTGAGAAGGAAAACTATGTACACACTAAGTCAAGTCAAGTCAAGTTTATTGTCAAGTATGCTATACATGC